TGTATTGCCTTTTGCTACGGGACAGAGAAAAATCATATTCCAGCATACTGAGCTGCATTAGAATTGTCTGCTTAATAAACAATTGTCTTCCCGTTAGAACTTTTTGTCTAAGAGAGAGGTAGGGTATTTGAACAGTGGGGACAAAGAAACCTTTAGTACTGCCCTTTGGGCTCTTTCTAACTTTAAAAGTAAGTATGTTTATTCTTGCCAAAGAACAAATAATGATTATTTTTGCCATGCCGAGCCGTGCGTTGCTATTAACGAAACTAGACATAAACTTTTTATATCTTACTTCAAATTATATTTGGGAAAGGTTATGCAGATGATAATACCACTGTATTTTGAAATATTTATTTACCATAAAGTCAAATTCTCCAAATTTTATTAGGAAAATACAATATTTTCTTACATAAATATTGTATCTAAAACCGCTAAAGCCTCATGGAACAAAAAAGGTGCGATCGGGTTTGCTATCAATCAATCAGGTAGACGGGTTAAGAGCCTCAAGATTTAAACAGAGGTCCAATAGGGTACACCTACCAACAAAAGCCCTTGTTTATCAAAGAATTTATATTATGTGTTACTTTAGATATACATGGGTGTCGATTCTGCTGTCATACTGTTTAAATTGGACTTAAATTACTAAACTTTGATTTAGTTTAAGTATCTTATTCATTTTAATTTCATCATCATCATCAACAGCCTTTAATAGTCCACTCCTGGACAAAGGCTTTTCCCTAGAAAGGAGGTTTTGGCCTACTATACCACGCTGGCCAGGTTTGGTATAGGTTTTGTTTCAAGTTTTCCTTCTCGTCGCAGTGTTATTGTCATGCGTAGTTTGCTCCCTCAGTCGGCTCTTACGACACCCATAGGATGAAAAGGGGTGGTGACACTCCGTATTCTTAATCCGTCACCACACGGAGCGTAATTTAATTTGATACAACTTAAATGTCTAAATTACAAAATTACACACATCAAGATTCCTATTGAAATAAAGAAAGCTTTTGAAACACTTTTGAACACTTCCAAATAAAATATATTCAATAGCTTTTGAATGTGAGTTACGTTAATGTACTGTTACTTGAATATTTGACGGTATTGAATTTCTATATAGGCCATCCCAAAAAGCATTAATATTTGTAGCGTCCTGTTGCTGTTGAGTAAGATCGACAACATACGTATGTTTGAATAAAACAACTGGCTTTGACTAGATCATCACCTTTATAATTAACTATATTATAAAATTAACGTGTATTTATTTTAGTTATTTTCAGTGTATTAATTATAGTACTAGTCTTTATTGTTTTAAATAAGCTTTAACAGTTTTCTTAGAGCTACAAATATACACTTCACTTAAAGGTCACACCAATAGAGTTTTCCACCAATAGACAATTTTTTTTGTAAATAAAAGTACTAGTGACATAAAATTGTCGACCGGCGAATGCAGTTCTGTCGTTTTCTACACTACATAAAAATCTGCTTATAGGCTTTATATAATCTTGTGGGGGAACTTGAATATGTTTGTTAAGGGTTGCTTGGAGCACAAATAGCTTTCTGAGGGAAAGGAATTTACTGCATATAATAAATGATCGTAATGGTTTACCAAGTATTACCTTGAGTACCGCTCTTTGTGACTGCACGGATGGCGTAGTGGTTTAAGCGGCCGCCACGCCTCTTCTTACTGCGCCGAGTGTTACTCAAACTCAAACTCAAACTTTCTTTATTTCATAAAATTTCCAAAATTGTTTGAAATCGTCTTCCATGTAGACTCTAAAGTCATAGATCAACACACACAAAAGCAACAATCTCTGTTTTGTCAAATAGTAACCAAATAAATTTAACAAAAATCAAACCCATACAAAATCTATGATATGCCTGTGCCGATCTACAACCGCCCGTTTCCAAGGGGTTGAGCCTTATGAGAAGAAAGGGCAAACAAACTCATGGCCACTCTTTTGCAATTCACAAGTAGATACAATGGCACTATTAAATATATCACAACATTGTTTTGATGTGTGCTAGTATGTCCGTTACTAAGGACTTAAAGGTGAAAAAACAACGAAGAGAAAACAAGATTAAGAAGAAAAAACGAATACAAGAGAAAATGAAGTGAAACATAAAAAATAGAAAAAATAATAATAATAAAAAACATACTAGCCACACCACATTTTTACTTAAGAAAGAAATAGCCTGCGCTAATTAATCCCAAGCATTATTGTCCTCCATGTAATCCACAATCGAGTAGTAGGCCCTCTGGCACAAGCCACGTTTTATTGCGGATTTAAATTTGTTAATACTCAACTCCTGAATATTATTTGGGATTTTATTATAAAATCGGACACATTGACCTCGAAAAGACTTGTTTATCTTTTGGAGCCTAGAGGCGGGTACAACAAATTTATTTTTATTTCTGGTATTTATGGCATGTACATCACTTTTTTTCAAAAAGCTATCTTTATTTTTGTGAACATATATTACATTTTCATAAATATATTGACTTGCCACTGTCATTATATTTATTTCTTTAAATTTCTGCCTCAATGAACAACGATTGCCTAAATTATAAAGTGCTCGAATAGCTCTCTTTTGCAGCACAAAAATAGTTTGAATGTCGGCAGCATTCCCCCACAGCAGAATACCGTACGACATTATGCTATGAAAGTAACTGAAGTAAACAAGTCGCGCTGTATCAACATCAGTCAACTCTCGGATTTTCCTTACTGCGTATGCTGCTGAGCTGAGTCTACTCGACAATTTATCAATATGTGGGCCCCACTGTAGCTTAGCATCTAGTGTTATACCTAAAAATGTCGTAGTGTCCACAAGGTCCAGCCCGACATCCTTAATTATCACAGTAGTTTTCACTGGCTTGACGTTTGGCATAGTGAAACGTATACACTTAGTTTTTTGTTCATTTAATAGTAAATTGTTGACATCAAACCAATGAACCACTTTCGAAATGGAAAATTTCGTTGTGGGTTCAAACCCCACATGGGACGACACTTTGTGTGATCCACAAATTGTTGTTCTGAGTCTGGGTGTTCTTTATGTCCGTTTCATAAATCTTTGTATGTCCCCCACGACACAGGATATATTCCTAGTGCGGGAGTTGCCTTTTTATTAAAAAAAAAACTTTACTTATTTCAAAAAGAACTTATAAAACGATTGTAAATTAGTAATGTTTTTAATGAAAACAAAATATAATCATGTTGTAATGTTTTTAAGAGAAGCAAACTACGCATAAAAACAGCACTGCCAGAGAAGATAAACTTTCAACAAATCCTGTACCAACCCGTCTGGCCAGCATGATATAGGAGGCCCAATCCTCCTTTCTAAGGAGAGGCTTATGCCAAGCAGTGGATTACTAACAGCTGTTAATGATATTTTTTAACAATTGAAGCTGGTATACTAGCAATGTTGTAGTAAAAATATAAATCTCCAATCTGTAAAGTCCCCCGCGACACAGGATATATTCCTAATGCGGTAGTTGTCTTATAAAAGAAATCTAATCTAATATAAATAATCTCTCTATTTCAATAAACTTGGTTTTGGTGGTACCCACAGCGGTATGCAATAAGTGATAACGGATTGACAGAGCGCTAGGTATATCATTCTCAAAGTATCCATGCGCAGTATCTGAAAGATTTTAGACTATATACGAGTTTTCTAATACAGTCATACTACTCCCAGACAGTTTATGTGATTTACACAGATAAGTGCCATCCACAAGCAGTGGACCAGATCAAAGCATGAATTAACCCTTATCATAAAGTCTGTTGCAACTTTGTTACTATAATTAATACAGAAAGGAATAAAGTTTGTCTTGCTTAAAGGGTTAACAGATCTAGGCGTAGCCAGTGTGCAACAGTAGGTAAGGACTCTTCAGAAGTAGTCCTGACCTCTGTCCACATATTATAATGGAAAACATTCGCCGTATCATTCGCATAAGTGTTAGTCTGTATTATATTGATAATTCTCGAAGATTGACACACAAGTAAAGGGACAGTAAAATTTATGAAGCAGAGTTTCTAAAACTTTAAAATGAAGTCTCAACTGACGCCAAGACTACAGTTTGCGTGTTTGCGTGCATTAAGAACTGAAAATGACGAATTTTTTTTACTAACTTCCTACGTGTGTAAGTGTTAAGTATCCGCTTCACATCTCGGTATAATAGCGTAATGTTTTATTAACTTATGTAACCTTCTTCAATACAAAACAAAAACAATGCCTATACAAAACAAAAATAATTATTCAAATCTGATTCATAGTTCCAGTGATCAGAGAATAAAATCAACAAGCAGAAGTCTCTTCAGTTTTATAAAACATTTACATAGATATCGATTTTCGCCAAATCATTATACATGCGCAAATCATAAAGTTAAAAGAATTGCCAAATTTATTAGTTAGTTTATATACCGATATTTACATGATATTTTTAACCGCATTTATTAGCTTCACTTGTAACTATTTAACTATTGTACACAGAAGGCAATTTTAACTTACTTCTAATTGCTGGCTCGTAATAAACCCTGTGTGTGTAAAAACAATAATATTCTTTGACATTGGAATCTTATGATGGTATCAGAAAATGGCTATTAAATCTTTAGTAGCGAGTGAAAAACCCTTTGAATTTTTAATAATTTGATTGGTTTTGACGAATCCAACAGATTCGCCTCAGTACAATACTTTAGAGTGTGCAAAATGTGTTTTTAGTTTTACTTAAGTGTAATTAATTTCTTAAGAATTATAAATTGTTTGCATTTGTATAAATAAACCAGATGCACAAGTCATCGGCTCGCGCGTACTCCGTCGCCAATGTGTTTATTTCTGTCCGGTGAGGCACGGGCATTCAAAATAGAAAAGTCCACCGCATCTCTCCGAAGCAGATACACGCACACGAAAATAGTGATTTTTAAATAAATTAATCTGTACTACTTTCACATAATTATAAAATAATTTTTAAAATACAAGATTCGTACCGATAAATACGTCCGCTTGAGATGGCGGCTTTGTATCAAATGACCGCCATCTTGTTTTTATCAATTGTGTTATTTGCTGTCGGTGCTGTCGCTGCTGGATGTGACGTGGAAGATGTGGCTGTGTATAAAGTGTCATTGACCATGCTCTGGAGTGAAGAGAGATTTCCAAAAGACTATCCTCAGAATCGGCCTAAAGCGCAATGGTCCCAGGTATTCGGTTAGTAAATTATGAATATTTTATTTAATATTTATTTGTTTATATTCATTTTATTGATATGATTTTCTTGTCGTGTTATCTTGTCTTGTCTTGATCGTTTTATATAAGAAAGTCAAGTCAAATCAAAATTAAAACTAACCCTTACGCCCACGTGGGCTTCTCATTTATGTGTATTATTTTAAAATCTCTAGTTTTTAATATTAATTAGTTTTAATTTAGTAATTCAATTAATAATATCAAAATGCTTTAGGATTTAAGTTATAATTTACAAGTGATAGTTAATATATAAATTCATCACTTAACTCCTCGGTAACATTAATTAGTTAAATTTCATGTTTAATATATTTATAATATAATATGAAAGTAAAATAATATATTTACAATAATATATATAAGTACTATAATTTATTAAACAGTTCATTTTTTTGTTAAAACTACTTTTTTTAATAGATTTTACCATTAACCAGTTGGGGAATGTAGGGTCATTGACTTTTCGATCAATGAAAATAAACAAACAAGGTATATACATTATAATATGTCTCCCTCGCTACAAATCAAAATCAGTCTCATAAGAAAAATCATTAACTTCTTAGTTATTTTTAAAAGGTATAATTGATTGTACCTAAATACATACGAGTATGTCATACAGGAACTGACAGTATATTTTATGATATTTCTAACAATTTAACTTCACACAATGCTCAATGCAAATATCGGTGGGGATAAGGTATGTTGACTGCACGGATGGCGTAGTGGTTTAAGTAGTCGCCACGCCGCTCACTACTACGCTGAGTGCTGTGGGTCCGATCCATGTGGGGACATGGGACGGCACTTTGTGTGATTCACAAATTATTGTTCTGAGTCTGGGTGTTCTTTGTGTCCATTTCATGTATGTTTGTAAAGTCCCCCGCGACACAGGATTTATTCCTAGTGCGGGAGTTGTCTTTTCAAAAAAAAAAATGGTCGGTAGCGTGACTATCACAATTTATTTGATTGAATTTATAGGGTGTATTTGTAAAAAGCGCTAAAAGAATTTGAAAAAGAGCAGAATAATTTATTTATTTGGTAGTCTTCAATAGTATAAAGAAATAAAAAAACAACAACATACATATTATAGATAAAGTACACCCAGACACAGAACAAATGACCGCGCTCACGCTTTTTAAAATACAACCATGAAAAATGGGGAAATTTGTATCCATTGTTATTTCATTTTAACGTTTTTTATTTATTTTATTGTACTTCAATGTACATTAACAGTGCATTAGTAAATTTGTATCCATTGTTATTTTATTTTAACATTTTTATTTATTTTATTGTACTTCAATGTACATTAACAGTGCATTAGTAAATTTTTATCCATTGTAATTTTATTTTAACGTTTTTTATTTATTTTATTGTACATTAACAGTGCATTAGTTGAAACACTAAGGTGTGACGTCAAGTCATAATAATTATTACATACAAAAATGTACGGAACTTAACATTATGCTCTGAAATTTATTAAAATTATACCTATTTGAGTTGATAGTCTGACAGTGTGTAGAATTTTTGGGCACAGGTGACACAATTTTTGAAACGGGTTTTCATTTTCCTTTGTATTCAATAACATACCATAAGATTACAGTGATTTAATTGTTAAAATAGTTAAACAAAAATAACAAAACCTAAAGTCCTCTATTTGTCTTTATTTCGAGTATAATTAAAACCAAACAAATAAATAGTCCAAGGAAAAAATGAGAATAATAATAATTGCTATTGTTTCTTAATTATTTGTAACCTTTTCTATTAAAGGAACACAAGACGTAATTTAATGACAGTAGGTAATTATTTCCGGCTAACGGAACAACCGAGTCTAAATTTGATAGAAGACGCTGAAAAATAAGAGTGTAATAAGATATTTATTTAAGTAAATAAATTAAGAATAATAAATATAATATAATGTAAAACATAGATATACAATCTCAATAATATACAACGATAAATATAATACTTGCCTTCTGACGAAGCATGTTTATGATCGTCGTCTATAAATCGTTTATTGTTTTTTTTTAATTATTGATGTTTGAGTCCTATTTCTATAACAGTAGATGCAGTAGTTCTGGTTGGTGAGGTATTTTTGTGAAGTAATTTTTATTGCATCGGAAATCCCCGGAAAACTCGATGACTGAAACATGATTAAATGTATATTAACCCAATAAGACATACCTTGCAAAACTATTTGTACTACGAGTAATTTGAAAAACAGTAATCTGATCTTCAAGATGGACTACAAGATAGGTATTCTATAACAGTAATTCTAACACTAACACGTAACAGTAAACACGAATTCAACCATTTTCATTTTATGACTTTGCGGTCACCACGAAAATATAATTAAATCGAACTATCCAAAGGCGGTCACGAGAAAAACAAAAAGAGAAACTAAATAAAGTTTCTGCTTATCTCCGAAGGTTTAAGTGACATTTTGCGGTTTTGCCCGATTTAGATAACGCTCTATTTATTCGTGCCTTTCATTCTAACACAAAAGAGTGCCGATTTTATCTAAAAATATTAGTTTTCTTTAGGTATTATCATTGTTTCTGTCCTATTTATTACATAGTTTATCTACCTGTGTCTCGAAATTTATTTCCCGGAATAGTCTCACAAATACTAATAGAATTGGCAGCGTTTAAACCTAGTGTACTCTGTTTAATTTTCGTGAAGATATAGGTGTGGTGTGGTGACGGATTAAGAATACTGAGTGTCACCATCCATATTCATCCAAACAACACAACAAGTGGAACAAACTACGTGGAATAACAGCACTGTAACGAGAAGGAAAACTTGATACAAGCAGCAAAGCCTATAGCAACCGTCTGGCCAGCGTGGTATATTAGGCCAACACCTCCTTTCTAAGGAAAGGCTTATGTCCAGCAGTGGACATTTAAAGGCTGTTAATGTGATGTGATGTAAAGATATAAAATTGCATAGCTTGTGATAAATTCTATATTGGCGATATCTTAAAAAACATTAATTATTAACTGCTCGATGCTCGACTGCCTCGAGACTTCGCTGAAGTCTCGGGTTCGATGCATGCATAATCTGCAAATATTTGTTTCGGAGTTTGGGTGTTATCTATGTATAATATGTATGTATTTATAAAAAAAAGATATATATAGGTATTCCATTAGTCAATCTAGCTTTCATAGCACAAGCTTACTTTTACCGTGGGAAAGCCGTACTTCGAGACATATGTACGGACTGAACAGGAGTAATACCATGGCATAAAAACCCGATATAAATCAATTATTTTGTTCCTCTTCACCGAGTGAGTAAGGTTCCCGAAGACCCAACAGCTCCCCCTTCCGACTTCTTAGTGAAAGGCACTCAAAGAGCGATATTTCATTTATGTCTTTTGAGTCACAGCTGTCCATTGGCGGTGCCCAAGTTTAAAAAATCAATAAATATTAATTATTCATAAGCATGTAACATATTAAACTGGTGTGGGCAGATATTAGAAAGCCGTTTGTCTTTTATCGATCTAAAAAATCTTTTGTCTGCTTTTAATCAAAAAAGGCTTGATGTTAGGGATGGTGAATGTGTCAAAAATTGATGAGATAAAAAATAAAATGTTAGATCCCTTGTTGTAAATGAAGGTTTTAATTCGTGATGACATTAAAAGGGGTTTGCTTTGTGTATAACTTCCTTCATCAGTTTGTTAAAATATACAGGAAAATTGTCGAGGATACAGATTTGTGCAAATTCAGGAAGGTGAAGATGGTGTCGATGATTTTTAAAGTTATACTAATCAATTTTTATTATATTTAAACTTTGTTGCATCTTAATTTTTTAATAAATCTTGTTTAAAAAAAAAACAACCTTAGTCAGGTGTGACATTAGGTTTGCTCACATTCAGATAGGCATTAAGACATGTTACATGCAAATGGAGTAAGGTGTGGTCCGTATCTTGCTTGACAAATTCTATGTTTACTTAGTGCGATATTCAAGCCAAAAAAAGGTACAGATTTTGAACCCTTCTTTTAAGCAAAACTTTCTCTTGTACAGGTAATATATTGACTGTCCCTTACACAGTAGTTTTAGTTAAAAATATTTTACTTTAAAAAAGAACTGTTATATTGTTCGTGGTCAGAACGTATTTAGTTTGACCACAATCAGTATAACCATGGATTATAGAATGATCACAAAAGTTTGAATATCATTAAATTAACGTTTGGAGATTCTTTAATAGTCTTCCAGAAAAGAAATTGAAATTAATTCGTCAATTGTTACTGCGTTGAATATAAGATCGGATATGATCTTTTTTATTTACGATATGTTGTACAATTTTCTTTTAAAAAAATTTCCGTCTAAAATGAATCAACCATCCTCTTGTTTTGTCTGGAACAATTAAAGTATTAATTTCTAATCCACTTTGTCAAGCAGTTGTTGTTTTGTAAAGTTCATTAAACATCAATCGCTCATATTTACTGGCATTACGAGTATATACTCATTAGGATGTAGAAACTTTTGATATATGGGTGAGCCGTTTATATCCGCTGAACACTAAACGATTAACGATTTTCTGTAACTTTGAGCACGGTCAGTGAGATGGGTGTTAGGACACTGAATAAATTTATTATGAGATGACATTGGTCTGGAAACAAAATTTCAGAACTAATTTAGCCGGTAGACATAAAAGATTATTTAATAAATATGTTTACTTGTTTTCTCTTCATAATAGATAAAGGCCTTATAAATAAATATATAATTTATAATATATTTTCTTAAATTCCACCTATGTGAGAACCTAGTGCCCGATGTAGGTTTTTAAGTGAAAACCTGTGTGTGTGATTCAAGACATAATATTATTATACTCCGAGTTTTGAGTGATAGAATACCACACCTTGCAGAAAAACATTTTCATTCTCCAGCAACTGCACTCCTGGCACATCAAAAGACGATGTCCTTTAAGAGACTACAAACTTCTGCAAACTCGAAAGGGATGAAAGTAAATTATG